TAAAAAGCTTCTGCACTGCAAAGGAAACAATCAACAAAACCAAAAGGCAACCGACAGAATGGGAAGAGATAGTTGCAAATGGCATATTGGAGAAAGGGTTGGTATCCAAAATTTGTACAGAACTTACCAAACTCAACACTCAAAAAACAAATAATCCAGTGAAGAATTGAGCAGAAGACATGAATACTTTTCTAAAGAAGACATTAAGATGGTCAACAGACATGAAAAGATGCTCAATGTCACTCATCATCAAGGAAACACAAATCAAAACCACACTGAGATACCACCTCTCATCAGTCAGAGTGGCTAAAATGAATAACTCAGGAAACTAGATTCTGGCAAGGATGGGGAGAAATGGGAACCCTCTTGCACTGTTGGTGGGAATGCAAACTGGTGCAGCCCCTCTGGAAAACAGTGTGGAGGTTCCTCAAAAAATTAAAAGTAGAACTACCCTACGAACCAGCAATGGCACTACTAGTAATTTATCCAAGGGATACAAGAGTGCTGATGCCATCGGGACACATGTACCCCAATATTTACAGCAGCACTTTCAACAATAGCCAGATTATGGGAAGAGCCCTAATGTCCATCAACTGATGAATGGATCAAGAAGATATGGTTTATATATATACAGTGGGATACTACTCGGCAATGAGAAAGAATGAAATCATGACATTTGCAGCAACATGGATTGAACTGGAAAGTATTATGCTGAGCGAAATAGGTCAGAGAAGGACAGATATCATATGTTTTCACTCATATGTGGAACTGGAGAAACTTAACAGAAGACCATGGGGGAAGGGAAGGGGAAAAAATAGTTACAAACAGAGAGGGAGGGAGGCAAACCATAAGAGACTCTTAAATACAGAGAACAGACTGAGGGTGAATGGGGGGTGGGGGAGAGGGGGAAATAGGTGATGGGCAGTAAGGAGGGCACTTGATGGGATGAGCACTGGGTGTCGTATATAAGTGATGAACCACAGGAATCTACCCCAAAAACCAAGAGCACACACTTAACACACTGTGTGTTAGCCAACTGGACAATAAATTTTATTCTTTTTTTAAAAAGTGGTGTCCTTGATTGCTTGTGCGAGGAAACTGAGTAACCAGGGACAGGCATGGGAAAGAGACCTCCAAGCTGTTTACCGTTTTGTACTTTTAAACTTTTGAACTGTGTGGCGGTATTAGTAATTTCTTAAAATAAATAAAATTTAAAATTAAGAAAGACAATTTTAAAAACATGTTCTCTGTTGGTAACATGAGGACATCACAGCCCTAAGACTATTGGGCTGTTGCCCAATCTATTTCAAGTTGTGGAAATCTTGCTTCTTGAGACAGGCACTATATGGGGTCTGTATCTTATCAAACTCCTGTGAGCTGTGAGTGCATACCCTTTCTTAAGCTTTAGTATTCTAGCATTCTTCATAAAATATATCATAGATAAGAACACATACACACAGGTTTAAAACAACCAGAACTTGAATGCCACATAACTACCACCTGAGTCAAAAAACAGAACAGTGCCTGTGCTCCAGAACTTTCTACGTGTCCTTCTGTGGTCATTACCTTCTCACTCTTCCCAGACATAAACACTTTGTTGATTTTAGGGATAAGACTATCTCTCTAATCTCCTATATGCACAGCCCTAGTCAACACTGTGTAGTTTTGCACATTCTAAAACTTTCAAGAAACTGATCATTCTACATATGTGATTCTTCTGACCGAAGTTATGTTTGTAAAATTCATCGACCTTGTTGTCGATAGCTGTAGTTTATTTTCATTGTGATATAGTATTTTATGGTAGGAATATATGTACCAAAATTTATTTACCCATTAAAATATTGATGAACACTTTGACCTTTTTATTTTTTGGTCCCCAATGTCTATTAGAAAAAACAAGTCCCAACACATGGTCTGACATTCAAGGTGAGCACTGTCCCCAAATATGTGCCCCAAACCTCTAGTCTGTCTTATCTCCTTATTTTCTATACCAACTACTGTGTGATTGCATCAAAACATTAAGTACAAGTTCTTAAGGCTGGAATGCTGTTGAGCATATAATAGATCTACCCAAATCATTCCTGCCCGTTGGGGTGTTGGTCAAGCATGGCTGCCTTATGAAGACCGCACAAGCTCTTCCATCCACTTTGCTGTCACTCCCCCAAAACTCCATCAAATGAATTATCCTCTTTCTGATTCTTCTAGTACACCTGCTTCGTGTAGCTTTCTGTTACAGCCATTCGTTATGGCCACAGCTCAGACTTCGTGCTTCGTGGTGGACAGCACTAAGATCTTGCAGATTTTACACATGCAGGTAAACAATGTGAGAGCTTTTCAACCCAAACTCAAAAGCTTGAAAGCTACTGCTCATATCGAGTACTAAACCGTTCAAAGAAAATATGTTTACAAAGTGAATTTCGACAAAAATGAAATAACACCAGTTAAAGAGAACACATCATCACCATTGCTTAGGCCAAGATTAGCGTTCCTCATTTCTAATACTGATCTGCTTTTCTCATGAAAAATACCAAGTTTTAGAGGCCTCAGGACACAGAATGTTAGAGCGTCCTATAATTTAAGATCACTTGATAAGCACAGTATTTAAAGAATACGATGACCCTGAAAATTGTTTTAACTCCAAAAGCAACAGAGTGGGATAAAACACCAACATTTTAATGAAATTAAAAAATGGTTCAGAAATCCCAATTAATAAGTATTTAAGAATTTAAAAAGCAGGACAATTATCTTTCTGTCAGAGAAAGTACATGCACGGAATGTAGATGATGCAAACAGGAGAAGAAATAAATCTGAGAAGCAGAAAAAAGCTATAACTGGACTGAATGCCTGGCCATTGTTTGCCTCTCCATCAGACTCATTAAAAAAAAAAAAAAATGGATGGGGGTGCCTGACTGGCTCAGTAGATAGAGCATGTGACTCTTGATCTCAGGGTCATGAGTTCAAGCCCCAGGCTGGGCACAGAGCTTACTTAAAAATATATATATATTTTTTTAATGGATGGGAGACATCACTCCAAAATAACTCCAAATACATCTTTCAATCATTTTATGCAAAAAAACATTCTCTTTAACGGATATTAAAACTGTATCATAGAAAAGAACGTTTGGAATTTACATTAATTACGCTAAAGTTGTTAATATAAAAAGAGTTCCTACAAATCAATAGGAAAAAAGCCCAACGGCACAGTTAAAAATATGGACAAAAGTTCTTTATAAACAGACCAAAGAAACGATCATTATAATGGCTCCTGAACATAAGAAAAACTGCTCAATCCCAGAAAAATGCAACTTAATGCCAAATTGGGAGGCCCTGTGTTGCCTACCTGCTTTTTAAGAACAAAAAGTTTGGTATAATGCTGTTGGCAAGGGTAGAAACAGGCAGTCGCCCATATTGCTGGCTGGAGTACAAATTAGCAGAATTCCAAGGACGTTCTACAATGATATCCATCAAAATTACATGTGCACATTCTCTCGGACCCAACACTTCGACTTCTGGGACTCTGTCCTACAGAAATGCTTTCATAGATGCAGGATAATGTGTGTCAAAGGGCATTAGCTGTGACACTAAAATAGCAGAAGTCTGGAAATTATCTTGGTCCATTAGTAGGAAACAGGTTAAATAATTTGTGGCATCCTTATGACGGAATTCTATGCAGTTGCAACAGAACAAGAAAGTGATCGCCAAGACATAAGAGAAGAGGAATTGCCCAAATAGTATCTCACAATTTGTGTAGAATATTGCTTATTTGCTAAAACATGCACAATGTGGAAAACTATACCCAGTTTACAGTGCGGTAAAACGAAGGAAACACAGCCCTAAGATTACTGGACTGTGGTTCAGTGTAGCATAATACTATACCCTCCTTATTTGAGGGCTTACAAAACTTCATTAACAGGACAAAGAAATTTGGGATACGCAGTAGAAACGCGCACGGCTAGGATACCCAAAGTAGAGTCACATTCAAGGGGCCTGGTAAGATATAGCTCATTTTAAGAGGAAACCAGGACCGGTTACAGAGCAGCAGAAAAATCTCCAACTGGCTCTAGTTAACAAAGAAAATGGCAGATTGTGTATGTTTTGTGTACTTTACTTCCTAACGTTAAGGTTAAGAAATCTATGTCCAGTAACAAGCTATCTCCTGCCGACCCCGGGCTTATTCTGCACCCGTGTGGATCACACACGTATGAGGACACACGTGCAAACAAAGACCGCGTTTCTCCACCCCCCACAACACTGGTAGCTGAGCACCGGGCACGTCCTTCAAGGAAGGAGTGTCCTTACTGGTGAAGGGCTCTTTCTGGAGACACAAACCTGTTGATCAGGGGCTTTTCTGAGAACATTCCTGTGTATTCTGTCTGTGCTTCACCTGAAAATACGGCTGTTTTCCACACTGGCACACCTGGGGGGAGGGCAGGGGGTGATGTACATAATCCACCTGTTTGCCTCCTGTTTGCTCATCAGGGAGTTAAGAGAGTAAACCCAACCCCCCAGGGAATGGAAAAACAAATCATTCAGTGCCCATCTCGGGTGGCTGCCGAAGGCGGCGCGGTCTTGAGCGTGTACCCGGGCTGGTCCAGACGCCTGCTCGGGGTGCAAGAGCGAATACAAGTTCAAGCGCGTTTGCACTGGCATGGTTTTGGCAAGCAGGTGAAAACGCGTGAGTTTTCGAAAGCAAAGGCCAAAGTTTCGCGGCACGCTGGGTACACCTGCAGGTGCGGATGCTCGCGGGTCAGCCGACCACCCCCCAGGCCAAGCTGCATACACACACGAGGGATGACAAGTGTCTGTTGCGAAGCGCTTCTGGAGGAAACTTGAAGTGTGTGTCTACCTGTTCGAGAAAGGTGGCCCCGAAAGTGGGGCAGGGCGGACACTTCCCCCGCAGGGCTCAACGTGCACCGCACCCCACCCCCCACCCCACCGGGCCCGGGGCGCCCCAAGGTCACCCGCCCTCCTGGGCGTCCCCACCCGCCGCGAGCTCTCACCAGAACAGCAGGTTGGCCCCGACGAAGGCGAGCAGGCTGCGCAGCGGCCTCTCCCAGCTCAGGAGCTCTTCCGCGCGGCAGCCCAGCCACAGCACCGGCTCCCCCAGCAGCCAGGTCACGGCGGCGGCCGCCCCGCCCGCGGCCTCCTCCACCTGTCGGCCCGCGATGACCGCCACCGCCCCCTCCTCCCGCGCCTCCTCTCCCTGCTCCTCGGGGGGAGCCCGGGGCGGCGGCGGCGGCGGCGGCGGCGGCGGCGGCGCCCGCTCCGCGGCAGCCGGGGCCGGGCATCCCTCCGCGGCGTGCTCCGCAGGCGCCGGGCTCGCCATCTTCAGCGGCGCGGGCAGGCGGGCACGGGCGCGCGCGCGGCGCGCCTGGGTGTCGGCGCGGAGAGGCCGGCGGGTCCCCGCGCGGGGCGCGCGCCGCGGGGCGCCGGCGGCTGGGTGCCTTGTGACGTCAGCCCCGGCCGCGGCGGCGGCGGCGGCGGCGGCGGCGCCTCCCCGGGGAAGTGGGCGCGGCCAAGTTCGCGCAGGGGCGGGGCTCGGGGCGGCGTCCCCGGGAGCGCGCGCCCCCCGCGACGGCCTCGCCCGGGACCCCGCGGAGTCAACCGGGCATCTTCACTTTCCCGAGCCGGGGCCGCCGCTCGGCCCTCCGCCTGCCTCGGAGGGCGTCCCGGGGCGCCCCTTCCGCGGGCCGCGGATGGCAGCCCAGGCCTTGGCGGGCACCGCCTGGGCAACCTCAGCGGAGGTCTTGACTCTTCTGGGAATAACGAGATGCTGGAAAGGTTGGGCTGAGAAAGGAAGGAAGAAAAAAAAAAAAAAACATTTGGGTCAATGAAGGAGCGTCAGGCCGCAGCGTCGGGGGAGGGCCCTCCCCTCTCCGACTTAAGCCAAGTCAGCTGCCTCCAAAATTGCACGTTGGGCTGTGGGAGGTACAGGTGAGGAGCCAGGACCCAGGCGGAGAAGGGACGCTTTGCGCGTGTCACGTAAGGCTTGGCAAGCCTTGACTACGGTTACCTCTGAGTCACTCTGGTCTCCGTGTCACAACCGCCATCGGGACATGGGTAAGGCGGCTGTGAGGGGTGACACCGCCCACACGGGCCTGGCCCCGGTATTTCTGGGTTGGGGCGAGCGGACGCAAGCAGTGTAATTGTTATGCTCACTTTTCACCGTTTGCATTTTTTAAAATGTTCTATTCTTTTTTTTTTTAATGGTTTTTTTCTTCATTTCTAGGAGAGAGAGAGAGAGAGAGAGAGAGCGTGAGCAGGGGAGGGTCAGAGAGAGAGGGAGTCACAGACTCTGAAACAGGCTCCAGGCTCTGAGCTGGCAGTCAGCACAGAGCCCGACGCGGGGCTCGAACCAACGAACCGCGAGATCATGACCTAAGAGAAAGTCGGACGCCTAACCGACTAAGCCACCCAGGCGCCCCTAAAATGTTCTATTCTTTAATCCCCCCTGTTCTTACTTTTCTCTAGAATAAAAATACCCCTTCCCTCCCCTCGGGGCATTCTACCTGCAATGAATTAGGGCTTCTTCTATCTTCTTGGGGGTTCATCCTGGCAACAAGCCCACTTTCACAAGATGGATGGAGCTCATTCCCAGAGCAATTAAAGCCTGTTGTTTCAAGGGAGCCTCTGGGGAAGGCTCGGGAATGCTCACCTGGGCCGTCATTATATGTTTATATCTCTGTATACATATGTGAAAAATCATTGATCTGTACATTACACATGTGTGCGCTTGGCCGTATATATTACATACCTCAAGAGGGTATTTTCCTAGAGTTCACACAAGGGTTTGTTGAACACCTACTATGTGCCCAAATGCTTTGCTAGGCTCAGCAGCTACTACTATGGGGAAGTTCACAGGCCAAGGAAGGGCTAATTACAATGTGATAACCGCTGTGATGGATATAATTGCTCAGTGCTGAGAGTCTTAATTTAAATGAAACTACCCCAAATTAGGGAAAGAGTGGAAAAATCAGGTTTCAGGAGGCTCTTCGTAATAATGACATCTCCCCTGAATTGTGAGGAGGACGGAAATAAGGTGGTGGGGGGAGAGGGGGAGGCAATAATTTCTGTTGGGAGACCAGCATGAGAGAAGGTGTGCCGTTACAGATGGGGGTGCACAGTTCCTTATGTGTATTTGCAGGGTCCACTGAGACCTTGATGAGCCACTAGTGCTGGAAAGTTTGGGGTTTTCCTGAAGACGATGCAGGATCACTGGTGCATCTGACTTGCGTTTGTAGAGAACCTGAAAAGCCGGTAGGAAGCGGCCACAAAACACCGTGGAAACAACTCAGGTATTTTTTCCGCAAAAGAAAGACTGTCTTTTCCAGCACGCTGGTTCTGTCACTTGGCCCTGCTGCAGAAGCTTCTGCAAGACAGATGATGCTCTGTGAGGTAGTGTGGCCTTTGTTGACCACAGCCCCCTGGGGTAGGATAGTCTACAATTTTCAGTAGGCTCCGCAGCTGGAAGGGAGAATGCAGGGCCGAGCAGAAGCCCACCCAGGTCATCCCCATTGTCCAGAGGGGATGTGCTCCCGGAAACACGTTGGCAAGATTCTTCACATTCCTTCTTCTCCCCCTGAGTTCTAACTATTGCCGTGAGGATCTGAGGAAGTAGTAAAAGATGTGGACAAGACACATCAAAGCTAAACGTCAGTTTCTCTACGTGGTTTGCAACACTTACTATCTCTGTTTAAGAGCTATCGGGCGGGGGCCTGGGTGGCTCAGTCAGTTGCTAAGTGTCTGACTTCGGCTCAGGTCATGATCTCTGGGTTCATGCGTTCCAGCCCCTTGCCGGGCTCCTTGCTGATCGGTGTGGAGCCTGCTTGGGAGTCTCCCTCTGTCCCTTTCTCTCTCTCTCTGCCCCTCCCCTGCTCACGTTCTCTCTCTCTCTCTCAAAATAAATAAAAAAAAAAAGAGAGAGATCATCTCTTATACCTTATGATGCCTACCTGTGGCTATGTGAAATCTTTTTCTTCTCTCTTAAGATTAATACACAAAAATGCTACACAAAACTGTTTTTGCGTAAAAACCTGGCCTGATTGCCCTAATCTGGCCTTTTCACCTCTGACCTCGAATAATTGCTGACAATGTCACAGAAGTAGACACATAGACACATAAATAGGTGCTACTAGGTGAGTTTTTTTTTTTGTCTAATTGTCTTTGTGATGTTTCAGTAATTTATTGCTAAGATTACATAAAAATAATACTTATGATTACAGTAAACCTTGTCCCCTAGTTGCAAGAAATTGCCATGTTTAAACCCCATTTGGGTAGCCTCACTGTTCAGGATTCTCTTCTGAATTTTGCATTTCTGTATATCGAGAACAGAATGATGAACACTAATGAGCTAAAAACTTTGAAATATATATCCGAGGAAGACCAGTAAATTGGGAATGTATTGAGGGGTGTTGGGGTGGGGGATAGGAAGAGAGAAAATAGTTGAGGCCACCAAATCTAAGAGACTATTTAGAAAAGAGCACAGCCCCAGCAAAGAAAGCCAAAATACACATAGGAACTCTTTTTTTTTTAATGTTTATTTATTTTTGAGGGGGGGGTGAGGGGGACAGGGACAGAACGTGAGCAGGGGAGGGGCAGAGAGAGAGAGAGGGGGAGACGCAGAATCTGAAGCAGGCTCCCGGCTCTGAGCTGCCAGCACAGAGGCCGATGTGGGGCTCGAACTCATGAACTGTGAGCTCATGACCTGAGCCAACGTCCGATGCTCAACTGACTGAACCACCCAGGCGCCCCTACACATAGGGACTCTTAAAAGAGTTTGCTCACCTTAGTCTTCCAAAAGTAGCTGGAAAGCCTGTAATAGGAGAGAGAAATAAGGAATAATTCTTACTTCAGGAGCCACATAGGCAACATCAGGCTAAGCCTAAGAATGAGATGGCAGTGCCCCAGTATCGCTTTTATTTTTTCCTTAAAATGTTTTCTGTTAGAATCTGCAGTGGGCCCGTGACTAGTCACATGCAAGGAGCCATGCATACATGTTGTATTATTTATTAGTCCTGCAGAGAGATGCTTTTGTGCTGATCATCTTACGGAAGCCATTTTACCTTCCTATTCTTGCCACGTCCTCCAGTCCTTATTCCTAATTTCCCCTAATTTCCGGGTCACTGAGCTGGGAGACGTAAGCCCAGATAAATAGGAACAGTACACCAAAATAGAAACACGTAGGAAATGGAAAGGAAGATGGTACCCAGTTTCCAAGGCTCAGCTCATAGAAGGGACTGGTTATTTCTGCTTTGCAGTTGACTCTTGTGCTTGTAAGAATTGGAATATCCGAGGCGCCTGGGTGGCTTAGTCGGTTAAGAGTTCGACTTTCGCTTAGGTCATGATCTCGCGGTTCGTGGGTTCGAGCCCCGCGTCGGGCTCTGTGCTGACTGCCAGCTCAGAGCCTGGAGCCTGTTTCAGAGTCTGTGTCTCTCTCTCTCTCTCTCTGACCCTCCCCTGCTCATGCTGTCTCTCTCTCTCTCTCCTAGAAATAAATACAAATATTAAAAAAAAAAAAAAGAATTGGAATATCCGAGCTAGAATAGTCTACACTTGACAAGCGTCTGTCAGGGAGGTGCTTACTGGAGTTGAAAAACATCGCATCAAGACGGTGGCCATCTGTATACCAGCTGGGATACTTGGGTTAGGTTATTGCTCCCTGGCGCTATACCAAAGACGTTTTCAAGACTTCAGAACTGAGGTCACACTACAGTAAGAGTATATCCTGAAAAGGTACTGTCTATTGCACGTGTGCGTGCACACACACAGGTGATGAGAATGACCCCAAGATGTTGACTTCCAAGCCCTTCCCACTGGGCTAGCAGTCACACCCAAGGCAGCAGACCAGCCACTGCTCTGGTCCTATGTTGGAGGAGATCATCGAGAGGCTGTGCCTATTGGTTGACCCACAAGCTGGACCTGGGCAACTGCAGGCTCCCCACCCCCTCCCCTGTCCTTGGGATGTCTGTTTTATACGTCATCCCACAGCGCGCGCCGTTTCAAGGACACAGTCTTGAGAGAGTAAGGTGGTGGTGCTTATCTGGATGGTATATGTGACTGAACCCAGGTAAGGCCTGTTTAAAGACTTAAGATTCTGGCCGGTGGGTGTAAGCTCTTGCCCAAGACAAGCCTCATCTGTTAAGTTCCCTGCTTTCTTAACTTGCCCGCCCAGCCTCGGGAGTGGTCTGCCCCGTTCTCCAGCCTCTCCCTGGCCTCCGTGTGTGTGTACAGAGGTGGGGTGTTCAGATTCCACCCCGGAAGCTCCCCAGGTTGTGAACCACCATCCTGGTCTGCAACCTCTTGTGTCTTTTTACCCCTTTATGGTCCTGGCTCTGTCTCACTGCAGTTCTGTATCATTCATCCCTTATTTCTTCTTTTATTGATCCTTAAACATTCAGTAAGGACTGGTTGTGGGCTTCTAGCAAGATAAACGGGGGCTGTTCATTTCCGTCCTGGTGCCTGGGTCCTGGGCAAGGGAAGCTGCAGAAGGCAGCCAGGAGGTACGCACAGCCCGAAGGCAGGAGCGAGGACAGCCTGGCCCCGGGGAGGAAGCCCTGAGCGGCCCTGAGTGAGAGGACCCAGTGGGACGCCCAGTGGTTACTCAGAAGGGCCTCCTGCGTGTGCTGCTAAGGAGTTTGAACTTTGAGGTCATGGGCGGTGGTGGGGAGTTGGGGGGGTTCCATAGGAGGGTGAAGGGCTTGGCTTGTGTTTTAGAAAGGTATAATCTGGACAGGGGATTCCACAGAGCCTGGCGGGCCGCTGGAAGAAACCTGTTCCTTGTCATTGACGAAGGGGGGAGGGGAGGAGGCGCTGGGCACCGAGGTCCGTGGCGGGCAGCAGCAGGGGGCCTGGCCCCGAGGTGGCCCGGGCAGAGAGAACGGGCAGCACGAAAAGCAAGGCCAGCGTGAGTTCCGAGGCACCGGCCGGAGCAGATGGCCTGCACGTGGGGTAGAGACTAGATTGAGGCTTTCGGGTAAACAGATCAGACAGGGGAGAGCTTTGAGCGCCACTCTCCAAGCTAAGTCACTAGTCCCCTGAGCCACGGAGTTTCTGAAATTCCTCGATTTCTTTCTGTTGTTGTTTGCTTTTACCAAGAAAGTGGTAGACCCCAAACACCAGTCCCCTGAGGTCCCAGGTACCCCAGCTCGGCTTCCAGCATCAAAGCAAACCTGTGGGTGGGATTGCCTTCAAACCCAGGTCTGCAAATCAGGCCTCCCAGGCTCCAGGGGAATACCAGAATCAGATTCGTGGAATGGAATGAAAACAGCTGTGGGAGTCCCAGCCCACGGGTATCCCTTCGCAATGTGGTGCTGGCTTGTCACCTGTTATGAATTTTAGTTCATTAGAAATTAGGCACAAAACCTGGTGACCCTTTAGGCTGGGCTAGCACGCGGGTGAGCTGTGTCCCATGTATCCCTTAGGCCGTGCGCTAGTGGGCACAGCTGGGTGTTACTTCACCACCAGGAGTGTGCAGGGTGCCCTGAAGCTTTGTAAGACTCAAGTGTCTTCTGAACCATCCAAGGAGTTTCAAGATCTAACACAGTTCAGAGTGTTGTGTATTTGCAGCCAATTCATTGAAACTTGCTGGTTTCTCCGTAGACTGTTTGCAGCTCCGGCACTCTCCCTGTGCCCTCAGGCAGAACTGCCCTCAAAACCAGATTTGGAGGCTGACTCCGGGCTGCCTGGACAAGGGCCTGGCAGAGACTGAAGGCCATTCTCTTTTCTCTAGGGAGAAGGTACATGTGGACCCAGGGATGGCATCTGCTTCCACAGCTGGCTTCCTGCAGCCCCCACTTCCCCTGGTGCCAAGCAGATTCCTTGCAGAACCTTGGCCAACAGCTGGCATCCGGCGTACTGTAGAGCGTATTCCCCTGCGGATGACGTTGCTCTTGCCCCGTCCAGAAGGGAGATGACAGAGTTGGAGTGGAGAGGCTCCTTCTACAGGAATGTCCACCCCAGTGGGCTCCTGAGAGCGCCCTGGCCACACGCCTTGTAAGTTAAGCTTGCTCCTCTCAGAATGAGGAGCCATCACACAGACATGCCCACCACCCCCAGCCTGAGAAGCAGCATTTACAACTGCCTTCTCAGCTGCAAGTCGCCCACATTCCGAAAGACAGGAAACACTGGAGTAAGTTATTTTTTAATGTTTTTTTAATTTATTCTGAGAGAGAGAGAGACAGTGTGAGCAGGGGAGGGTGAAAGAGAGAGATACAGAATCTGAAGCAGGCTTCAGGCTCTGAGCTAGCCATCAGCACAGAGCCTAATGCGAGGCTCAAACCCACAAACCATGTGATCATGACCTGAGTCAGATGCTTAACCGACTGAGCCACCCCGGCGCCCCATGGAGTAAGTTTTGATTCTGGTCTCTCCTTTATTCCACCTGGAATAATCATGTGTCAGGCTAGCCCAAGACCATGCTGGTTAATGCCTGCTGTTTGACATGGTTATTTTTAAATTTTTTTCAAGTTTTATTTATTTGAGACAGAGAGAGAAAGCATGCAAGTGGGGGAGGAACAGAGAGAGAGGTAGAGACTCTCAAGCAGGCTCTGTGCTGGCCGTGCAGAGCCTGATGTGGGACTTGAACTTATAAATCATGAGATCATGACCTGAGCCAAATCAGGAGTCAGATGCTCAATCAGCTAAGCCACCCAGGTGCCTCCCGGCATGGTTATTATTATTTTTTTTAATATAGTTTATTGTCAGGTTGGTTTCTATATAACACCCAGAGCTCATCACAAGTGCCCTTCTCCATGCCTATCACCCATTTTCCCCTCTCTCCCACCCCCATCAGCCCTCAGTTTATTCTCAGTATTTAAGAGTCTCTTGTGGTTTTGTCTCTCTCCCTCTCCTTAACTAGTTTTTCCCCCTTCACCTCCCCTACGGTCCTCTGTTAAGTTTCTCCTGTTCCACATATGAGTGAAAACATATGGTATCTGTCTTTCTCTGCCTGACTTATTTCACTTAGAATAACGCCCTCAATTCCATCCATGTTGCTACACATGGCCAGACTTCATTCTTTCTCATTGCCATGTAGTATTCCATTGTATAGATGAACCACATCTTCTTGATCCATTCATCAGTTGATAGACACTTAGGCTCTTTCCATGATTTGGCTATTGTTGAGAGTGCTGCTATGAACATTGGGGTACATGTGCCTCTATGCATCAGCACTCCTGTATCTGTTGGGTAAATTCCTAGCAGTGCTATTGCTGGGTCATAGGGGAGTTCTAGCATTAGGTTTTTGAGGAATCTCCACACTATTTTCCAGAGGGGCTGCACCCACCCCTCTGTTTACATTCCCACCAAGAGTGTAAGAGGGTGCCCATTTCTCCACATCCTCGCCAGCATCGATTGTCTCCTGATTTGTTCATTTTAGCCACTCTAAGCAATGTGAGGTGGTATCTCAGTGTGGTTTTGATTTGTATTTCCCTGATGATGAGTGACATTGAGCATTATTTCATATGTTTGCTGGCCATGTTGCTTTCTTTTTCAGAGCGTCTTTTTTTTAATGTTTTATTTCTGAGAGAGAGAGACAGCGAGCAGGGGAGGGTCAGAGAGAAGAAGGAGACACAGAATCAGAAACAGGCTCCAGGCTCTGAGCTGTCAGGCACAGAGCCCAACACGGGGCTCGAACCCACGAACCGTGAGATCATGACCTGAGCCAAAGTCAGATGCTTAACCAACTGAGCCACCCAGAAGTATCTTGATTTGGCTGATAAATTATATGGACCTCCCCCCCCCAACTACCCCCAGTCTTTCAACAGTCGCTGAGAGCTCTTCTTAAAGACTCGCATGCCCATATACCTCGCTCTCCAGTATCAGGGCCGCCATGCCTGCTCACGCCACATCACCTGACACCAGTCTGAACTGGAGAAGCCTTGTACCCCCTCCTCTTCCAGATCCAGACCATCTCAGGCTGTGTTCCTCATTCTTGGAACTAATGAGGGTTTTCAGTGAAAGTCAAAGAATGTGGGGCTGGGGGAAGATCTGAACTCAAGCTATCCACAAGTTCAAGGTCATGATGTGATATTATAGCTACATCGACAGAAAGAGCCTGGACTCAGTGGCACCCATGGCAATGAGCTCCCTTAAAGCTCATTTCCTGCCAGAAAAGAACAGGGGTTCCTTAAAGAATTGGCTGATACTGGGTCTAAGTTAGTAACATCTTGTGTGCCAGGAAGCAAAACACATTCAAAAAGCATTTAAAACTATGTCAAAAGGACACAGAAGCCAGCTTTGAAAGGGAACCCACATACTAAATCTGAGAAACTTCAAGGATCAAAAAAATCATCCTGGGAAATGATTATATTGAGTTAAAAAAATCTTCCGGCTCCACAATGATACTCAAAGGGGGTAGGAGGGAGGCTCTGTATTATAAGTTAATAAGTATAAACTGTAGATTTAGAAAAGCACCATTTTGTTAACTCTCAATGTAAACAGTGATTCAGGCAATGATCATCAATTACCCACTGGGAAAAAGACTAAGGAAGACACGTTTACATGATCTCACAGGTTACTTACTAATTACAAAGTGTGTCTTTGCATTGGAGAGATCTCTACCTTATCTGCATCTCATCAAGCTGGGCATCTCCAGAAGTGGGACAATCTGACCTTATGAGCCCCCTGACCTGATGTCATGGGAGGGACACAACAAATCTTGCTGGAAGCCTTTGACCTGAATCAAATCCTAACAAAACAATGTCCTACATTCTACACGTCAGTTGACCTGGATCTTCAGGTGCTTGATATCAACAGAGGAAGGGTTTGAGAAGAAGAGCTAAAACAGCCAAGTCAATGTGTAAAACTTGATTGGATTCTGGGTCGAAAAAAAATGCTATCAAAGACATTTGGTGGAAAAATAAGGAACATCTGAGTCCAGATTTTATGCTAGATAATTTTGTTGAATTAATATTGCTTTTCTTAGGTGTGATAAAGGTGTTCTGGTGATGTAAGAGAAAGTCCTCCTTCCGAGTACGTATTTGAGGGTGAAATGCCATAATGGGACATATATATAGAAAGAGAAATAGAAATGGGGGAAATGGGTGTGGCAAGATGTTGGCAAATCTATGTGAGGAGTATCCGGCTGTTCATCGTACTGTTCTTTCAACTTTCCTGTGGGTTTGAAACTGTCAAAAGAAAAAAAAATGTTTTCTAGAAGACTGTGAGAAAATAGGAAATAGAAAAAGTTCTTACAGTTTTTCATTTTCAAGACTGTGACCTTTGGTGATTTCTCCTTCCCACGAACTCTTGCTTGACTTAACATCATTGTGACAACCCTGAACGAGGGAATCCAATGATGGCAGACATATTGTAGCAACAGGAAATGAACTCTTTCCATGTTCTCCAGAGAACTGAAGCTTTTCTTTAATCCAGGCTTCTATTGAGTAAGACCCTATGTACTAGGTACTTAATCTGTGTACTGTGTACATAGTACTATGTACCTGATCCTTGTACTATATCCAAGATCCTATGAGAGGCACTGTAAGTGATACAAAGGTGAACAGCAATATGGTTTCTGCCTTCAAAGGGCTTAAAATCTAACAGAAAAAAACTGGCCCAGCAAATGGTTTTTGAGTGGCTATTATGAGCTAAACAGGAGACCAGGACTAGGAATCTAATTATTTTTAGTTACTTATTTTTAATTTAAGCCCATGTTAGTTACCATATAGTGTAGCACTGGTTTCAGAAGTAGAACTTAGTGATTATTCATCATTTACATATAGCACCCAGCGCTCACCCCAACAATCACCCTCCTTAATGCCCGACACCCATTCAGCCCATCCCCCCACCGAAAATCCCTCCAGCAGCCCTCAGTTGTTCTCTGTATTCTCTTATGGCTTGCCTCCCTCTCTGTTTTTCTTATTTTTCCTTTAGGGATCTAATTACTATTATTGCTATTACAATCTACTAGCTCTTATTATACCCAGTCCTGCCATCAAAGAGCCTCTTGTCTTGAGAAAAACAGACACATACATTAATTTCAAGACAATAAGACTAATGAAAAGATCTTTATCATTATCTAAACACTATGACAAAGCATCCAGGGACAGCTTATGAGCAAAGAGGACATCTATGTTAGGGCTTGAAGAGTAGGTTGGAATGTTCTCAAAACAATTTGGTAGGCATTGCAAGTAAATAGAATAAAATATGTAAAAGCATGAAGGTATGAAATGAACATGACATGTTTAGGGATCCACAGGTGCTAAATATAGCTAGAATTTGGGGTTTTAGAGAAGAATAAGAGATACAGAATGGGGACTAGAACTTGAACTTGTTGATAAAGAGCTTTCATGTTACACTGAGGAGTTTGAGCTGCATTCTTTAGATGATGGGAGATTTTGGAGGCAAGTGTCACGATCAGATTCTTAGAAAGGTAACCCTGGTGGTGGAGTAGCATGTGGATTGGAAGGAGATGAAGCAGAGAGACTGGTTAACAGACTCTATAATCGTCCAGGTGAGAGATGCTGAGAGTCGAAACCAAGACAGAGAATATGGAGGCAGAGAAAGGGAAACGCAGGAGGCATTTTGTGTATTGCACCAGCAGGGCTTTGGTGACTGAATGGATGTTGGGGAAAGACGGTCAGGGGATTGTCAAAGCTAACTCCAGTATTAGGGCTCTCCAGAGAAACAGAACCAATGGTGTGTGTGCGTGTGCATGCATGTGCATGCGTGTGTGTGTGTGTGTGTGTGTGTGTGTGTGTGGTAGAGCTGGGGACGTGGGATTTAAGGAATTGGCACCTGAACCTATGTGCACAGGCAAGTCTGAAACCTGCTGCATAGACGTGGAGGCTGGAGATTCAGGCGGGAGTTAACGTTGCAGTCTTGAGTCCAAAGGTAATCTGGAGACTGAATTCCTTCCTGCTCAAAGGATTTCAGTCTTTTCTCTTAAAGCCTTTAACTGATTAGATGAGGCCCACCCACACTATGGAGGGTATTGTGCTTTTCTCAGTCTACTGATTTAAATGGTAGTCACATCTAGGGGCACCTGGATGCCTCAGTTGGGGAAGCAACCAACTCTGATTTCGTCTCAGGTCCTGATCTCCCAGTTGGTGAGTTCGAGCCCCATGTTGGGCTCGGTGCTGGCAGTGCAGAGCCTACTTGGGATTCTTTCTCTCCCTCTCTCTGCCCTCCCCTATTCGCTCTCTCTTAAAATAAATAAACTTTAAAAAGTAAAATAACTGTTAATCACATCTAAAAAATAACTTTATAGTGACATCTAGACTGGTGCTTGACCAAAAAAAAAAAAAAAAAAAAAAATTGGGCGCCATAACCTAGCCAAGCTGACCCATAAAATTAAGTGTTATCACCCCTCATTGTGCCAGTACTAAAATATGAAATAGAGGAGAAAACTTGGGAACGGACTTGGAGAAAAAAATCCCCATCAATTTAGAAGGTGTTGAATTTCAGTTGGTCATGTCTAGTGGTCCTCTGGACGGCAGGAGACAGATCTTTCCTTCTTTTTTTTGAAGGTTTTATTTTAAGTAATCTCTACAGCCAACGTGGGGCTTGAATTTACAACCCTGAGATTGTAAGTGAGTGAGAGTCACGTGCTGTATGGACGAGCCAGCCAGGCACCCCATGGAGACAGATCTCTCTAGTTTAGAGATCTTAGTGGAGCCATAGAATGAGGTGAGGCTTCTTCACAAGAGACTGTTCGTTTGTTCATTCATTCAACAGTGAATGTCTCCTGTGCATGTCTCTGGGCCAGATGCTGTTCCAGGCTGGAGGACCACAGTGTGTTGCAGGTAATGTTCCTGTCCTCCTAGAGCATAAATCTTAGATGACTTGCCGGATCGTGAGGAAATATGCATATGAACATAAAAATGTGTGTCATATGCTGCCGTGTAACAAACCGCTCCCAAACTTGGTGGCCTCAGACAACTTTGATTTGCTCACGACTGAGTGAATCGGCAGTTGGGGAGAGGTCAGCCGGAATGGCATGTCTCCGATCCACGTGGTGTTGCTGGGTCACGTGTGCAACTAGCACAGTTCGCAGATGCTGGGTGGGACTAGGCTGGGGGTGTCAGCAGATGTGTCTTCGGTGTTCCCCAGGTGGCCTCGCCAGCAGGCTGGCTTCAGGCTTCCTCATTTGGCAGCTGGAGGTCCATGAAGGCATCCCCTACTGTGCAAGCACGTCTCGAGCTTCTGGTTGGGTCACATTTTCTAATGTCCGAGGGGCCAAAGCAAGTCACACGGCTAAGCCCAGAGTCATTGTGAGGGGCAACAGCACAAGAGCACGGGGACCGTTGAGGGGCGCCTGGGTGGCTGAGTCGGTTAGGCGTCCGACTTTCACTTAGGTCATGATCTCGCGGTTCGTGGGTTCGAGCCCCGCGTCGGGCTCTGTGCTGACTGCCAGCTCAGAGCCTGGAGCCTGTTTCAGAGTCTGTGACTCCCTCTCTCTCTGACCCTCCCCTGCTCACGCTGTCTCTCTCTCTCTCTCTCTCTCTCCTAGAAATAAATAAAACATTAAAAAAAATTAAAAAAAAAAGAGCATGGGGACCATTGACATAAAGTGACACAGGTTAAGTGCAGTGAAGAAACACAGGACAGAGTGGAAAGGGGAAGTGCTTTGGAAGAGACGGGAGGGGTTGAGAGATGTGACTTTTGAACAGACTTCAGTGGGGGAAGACAGCCAGTCACACGGAGTTCTGGAAGCAGAGCGAGCGATGATCTGAAGTGAGAACTAGTTTGTGCTCAAAGAACAAGAGGCTAAAATGAGAAGAGCAGTGTGAGCCAGGGGGCTTGGAGTGAGGGAAGGTCACTGAGTGAGGAGAGGAAGGCAGTGGGGCATCACGAAGGGCACGGCAGCCCTGCATCACATTTAAAAGATGGTAGAAAACTAATGAAGGGTGTTGTGCAAAACATGACTTCATTCAATATTCATCTTTTTAAAAAAAATTTGTTTATTTTTGAAAGAGTGTGAGCAGGGGAGGGACAGAGAGAGAGAAAGACACAGAATGCAAAGCAGGCTCCAGGCTCTGAGCTGTCACCACAGAGCCCGACATGGGACTTGAACCCATGAACTGTGAGATCATGACCTGAACCAAAGTCTTAACGCTTAATCAACTAAGCCACCCAGGTGCCCCTCATCTTTCTTTTTAAAGTTTATTTATTTTGAGAAAGTATGTGACCACATGTGAGCAGGTGAGGGGCAGAGAGGGGTGCGGGGAGAATCCCAAGCAGGCTCCACACTCAGCACCAAACGCAATGTGGGGCTCGATCTCACGAACTGTGTGAGATCATGACCCCAGCTGAAATCTGAAATCAAGAGTCCCGACGCTTAACCAACTGAGCCACACAGGTGCCTCTTAGTTTTCAGCTTGAAAAGATTGTTCTGGTCATTGATGAGGAGACCAGCATGAAGCAAGGAGATCAGTTAGGGATTACTGGACTAGTCAGAGCTATTGGCAGTGGTGGACGGTGAGAAATGATTGGATTTGGAACACATCTGGCACATACAGCCAGCAGGAATGTTGCATCCAATGTAAGGTGTCAGGGACAGAGAGGAGTTACAAATGACATCTAACATCTGTAGAGATAGGAAAGATGTGGGAGAGGAAATTCTCTCTTGGGAGAGGAATTCTCTCTTGGACATACTATACTTCATGTGCCTAATACAGGTCCAAGCACAGACAAGTAGGAAACTGGATCTGAAAACTGTGAGCTCAGGGAAGATAAAGTCAACATCTAAAGGACACAAAAGCCATAAGACTACATGGGATAAATTGGAAGATGTGCTAGAAGATACAGTGTTTTCTGCTTCTCCTTGGGTTTTCATAATTAAATAAGAAGGTGGGGCATGGGCGGAATAGTGATATGAAGTTTAAAAACAGGAATTTTGAGGTAGTGGCTTTGGGACCCAGGAGACCGTGGGAGACCCTTCACTAGGGAAGGGTGGGAGGGTGGATGCGATGGGTGGCCTCTGAAAATCGTGGTCATAAGCTTAAAGCGAGAGTGTGCTTGGGTGTTTCTCCGGCAACATTCATCTGCTCTTATACAGACTTAGAGAATTGGGTTTTCTGTGGGTGGTTTTTTTTAGGATAAGTGGAGAAGAGGAAGAGATAGGAAGTTGTTGAGGGTGAATATAATTGAATGATATAGTGATGGGCCAGAGATTCAAATCTGGGGGAGGAGGGAAGTGAAGGCATTGAAGAAAATGGTGCCCTCATGGTTGGGAGGCCCTGATGAGAGGTGTTCCTAGTAGGGAGCACACTGGAAAGCAGTGGAAAGGAGTCCGTGGAGGCTAGAATTTAGGAGGACAGGACACTAGGGCAACAGATCAAGAAGTCAGGGCACTGGGTGGATCGTTCATGTGAAAGAAGTCTGCAGACTTCTGGACACCAGGCATGAACTTGAGACTTTGTGTTGGGGTTGTGTCCCCTCAGCTTCCTGGTCATCCATCCTTGACTTTTTTTTTTTTTTATGTTTATTCATTTTGAGAGAGAGAGTGTGTGTGCATGTGCAAGCAGGGGAGGGGCAGAGAGAGAGAGGGAGAGGGCCCTGCCTGGAGCGCAGTGCCGGGCTCAGTCACATGACTAAGATCATGACATGGGCTGAAATCAAGAGTCCGACCCTCAACCAACCGAGCCACCCAGGTGCCCCATCTTAGACTTCTTTTAATTGTATAAGTTGAACAGTCACTTGTCCACAACCCATCTGTTTTGCCCTGAGGGATGCAGTAACTAATAGGATTTTGAGTTAATTCCCTTGAATGATCCTTTCTGGCTGGAAGAAGAGTTTTTCATATTTGAGGGAAAGAGTCCCTATGAATATCTCTCAGCCAGAAGGACAGACTGTGGCAAGTGTGGCAAGTGACAGCCAGCCAGCTTCATTCTCCCCTTATGTAATGCAGAGTGTAACTGAAAGGTAGTTGCGCGCCTGGAACTGCATTTCCCAGCATCCCTTGCCTAGAAGTAATGCCAGGGGGCGCCTGGGTGGCTCAATCGGTTAAGTGTACGACTTCGGCTCAGGTCGTGATCCCGCGGTTCATGGGTTTGAGCCCCGGGTCGGGCTCTGTGCTGACAGCCAGCTCAGAACCTGGAGCCTGTTTCAGATTCTGTGTCTCCCTCTCTCTCTGACCCTCCCCTGCTCACGCTGTCTCTCTCTGTCTCTCTCAGAAATAAATAAAAAACATTAAAGAAAAAAAAGAAGTAATGCCACGTGACATCACTTCCAGGCCAAGGAGGCTAAAAGGCTTTTGATCCTATCCAGTCAGTTGCTTCCTTTTTGCCAACTTTGTTTGTGCCTGGGGTAACCTTGGAAGATAAATGTTGAAGAAGGCAGAACCCCTGTGAGCTGGGCCCCTGAGTAGCCACAAGAGCAGAGCCGATACCCTCCGACTGTTACCTCCATATTGGTAGCAGTTCTTAATAGCAGTAGTTACTTGAAGTGTAGGTGTTCACCAAAGCCGCTAGAGTTACCTAGTACATACTATGCTCTCTGTACATTCCATATCAAATCTGCATAGAATAAAATAGTGTCTGTACGAATGGATTTTTACCAGATTTGAAGGCGTGTTTGTGATGGTCTGATTGGCATATAGGTTATGTGACATACATAAATGTCATCCGAGAGGCCCAGGGACATTTTTCAGAGCTGGGCAATTATTCACAACTAAAAATGAAGTATAATTGGGGTGCCTGGGTGGTTCAGTCAGTTGAGCATTTGACTATTGATTTCAGCTCAGATCATGATCCCAGGGTCATAGGATCGAGTCTCACACCAGGCTCTGCACTGAGCACAGAGCCTGTTTTAAAATTTTCTCTCTCTCTCCCTCTGCCCCTTTCTCCCCACTCACACTCTCCCCCCTCTCTCTAAAATTAAAAGAAAAAAGAATTCTAATAAAAGACAATGTTAATACAATCAACAAATACACACCTTCTCTGTCCTAAGCTTTTTTTTTTTTTAATATTTTTTATTTATTTCTAGGAGAGAGAGAGAGAGCGTGAGCAGGGGAGGGTCAGAGAGAGAGGGAGACACAGACTCTGAAACAGGCTCCAGGCTCTGAGCTGGCAGTCAGCACAGAGCCCGATGCGGCATTCAAACCCACGAACCGCGAGATCATGACCTAAGCGAAAGTCGGACGCTTAACCGACTAAGCCACCCAGGCGCCCCTGTCCTAAGCTTCTTGATCTAAGCCGTCATGTGGGTCCTCGTGTGTATACATCGTGGGTACCTCCGGTTCTGTGGCCGAGCTTAGCCGGGGCTCTGTGGATCCTCCTGCCACAGACTTAGAAGAAACGCTCCCCTTGAAGGCGTGTGTCGGTTTCCTATTGCTGCTGTCACAAGTTACCACCACCTCAGTAGCTGAAAACAGTAGTTTATTTCTCACAGTTCTGGAGGTCGGAAGTCTGGAATGAGACCAACAGGGCCAAGACCAGGGTGTCACCAGGGCTGGCTCCCCACGAGGACACCGAGCCAGAATCCTTTGCATGCCTGAAAGTCGCCTGCACGGCTCCACCTGTGGCCCCTTCTCTGCATCACTACAACCTGTGGCTTCGGTCGCCGCATCTACGGAGTCCGCACTCCTGCCTGCCTTCCCGAAGGACACATGAATCCCCTGGCCCTACGTGAGTAATCTCAAAACCCCCAGTGTAATCACGTCTGCAAAGCTGCTTTTGCCATACAAGGTAACCCTCACAGGTCCCGGGGGTCAGGATGTGGACATCTTTCAGCCTGCCACAGTGCGGCATGTGGCTTCGGCGTGGCTTTGAAAGGCACCAGCTGATAAGGAAATGGGAGGGGACGGACTCCCCACCCAGTGAACTTCAGCCCATGGGAAACAGGACCAGCTCCAGAAATATCTCTTCTTCTCCTGGACGGCTGCTCTGAGGCAGGAGTTCCTATACAACTTGTGCAGAGTATCCCACGTGGCCCTGCGCCTGGGCTCTCCTGGTGGGCCGCGGGGAAGCAGGGGCCGCTTTGTCTTGCTTCCCATCCTTCTCTGCCTCTCTCCCTTACCCTCAGTGCCCTGGGCTGCACTTCCCAAAGCTCTAGCACTTTCCCTCTGCCCTGGGCTCTGTTTTCCTGGGGTGGGGGGGTGGGGGGGGGAGGGTCTCAGCCGGGGTGGCCCCCACATTGAAAGTTACAATTCACTCTTTCATTTAAGAACTAATTCCTGAGCACCTACCATGTTCTGCCCTGGTCCTGGTTCAGAGTGACACTAACAAACCCAGGAAGATTTCTGCTCTTCCAGAGATGACCTTCTACTTGCGGAAGACAGTCAATAAGCAATTAAGCAAGAAAATACTCTTTAGTGGTGAGCGCTCCTTACAGCACGGTGACACAGTAAAGACTAGCTCTTCTACATTTGGTGGTGAGGAAACACGTTTCTGGAGAGGTGACATTTTAAGCTGAAGCCTGAATGACCGAGTCACAGGTGCAGAATCAGGGGAAGGAGAAGTGGGCTGAATGGCCACGGGACATCACATGGGGACACAGTCTTGCCTTCAGCCAGTTTGCAGCCGATGTTTCTCACATGGAAGATTCTAGGTACCGTGGCCTGGTTGAACAGCAGCAGAACTTTACTTTTAAAAAATCCATGATTCTACCGAGCAACAAAAGGCCAGATGGTTTAAAATACAAAATAAACATTTCAGGCAGGAGCTCTCTGCTCCCAGTAAATGGGACTCTCTCTTTGACGTGAAGGGATGTGTTTTATTTTAAAAGTTAGATTTCTTCCTGCTGCGTTTTCAATTCAGCCTCATATAAGAGGAAGGACCATGAAACTAGAAGTTCTGAGTCTTTAGCTCCCTCACCTGTATAAGACAGAACTTGGGTTATGAACCCATTTCCTTCTGTCTCCAACGTGTTTTTGTTTTTATGATTAGCTGTTATTTGTAGCACAGGACTTTGTTTCACCGCATTTCAAATGCTTTTGGGAGGGGATCAATTTACATCTGAACTCCGAGCATAGCCTAAAGGAGATGTGGGCTTTGTAATCATAGGACACCATATTTCTTTAGATTTTCTCTTAGATAGTAAATGTGTTTCATAGCATTGTAAAAGGTATATTTTATTTATTTTTAACAAGTATTCCTTTTTTTCTTTTTTTAAATTTTTTAAAAAATGTTTTTATTTATTTCTAGGAGAGAGAGAGAGAGAGACAGTGTGAGCAGGGGAGGGTCAGAGAGAGAGAGGGAGTCACAGACTCTGAAACAGGCTCCAGGCTCTGAGATTGGCAGTCAGCACAGAGCCCGACGCGGGGCTCGAACCCACGAACCGCGAGATCATGACCCAAGCGAAAGTCGGATGCTCAACCGACTAAGCCACCCAGGCGCCCCTAGTATTCCTTTTTTTCAAAAAAGTTTTTTTTTTAACATTTATTTATTTTTGAGAGACAGAGAGACAGAGCATGAGAAGAGTTGCGGCAGAGAGAAGGAGACACAGAATCAGAAGCAGGCTCCAGACTCCGAGCTGTCAGCACAGAGCCCGATGCAGGGCTCGAACCCACGAACCACAAGATCATGACCTAAGCCGAAGTCAGATGCTCAACCGACTGAGCCACCCAGGAGCCCCATAAAAGGTATTTTTTTTTTTTTAAGTTATAATTGGTCACTGCTGCTGTATAAAAATGCAGTTGGTTTTTAAAAGATTTTTGACCCTTTATCTAGTGATCTTGCTACACATTAATTCTAATAGAAAATCCAACGTGATCAGTTGTTAAACCAGGTGCTTCATCACATTAGCTGCAAATAGTGACAGTTTTAAATCTCACCCATTCCTCCTACGTTTATTCCTCTTTTTGGCTTACTGGCGTGGCTAGAACTTCCTCAAAGGGGGTGGGGGAGGGGGGCAGCACATTATCTGTCCCCGTTGCGTCAGCTGAGTCACCTTGCAGGCTGGGGGGCTGGAGTCGGCTGCAGGCCCAACATTTGCATGTCTGGTGGTTGCTGTTGGGAAGGTGTGAACGGCTGGGGGTGGCACAGCGGGGACCCTTCCGGCTCCTAAAGCACGTGCCCCACCCCCCCACCCCCATATGACTTCCGTGGTAGCCTTCCTGTCCTAGTCGGTCAGGAGAGGAGAATTAGACCCCACCTTTCCATGAGGGTTGCCAAAGAATTTGTGGCTATGTTTAAAGCCACCACAGTTGGTCCTCTGGCCCAAATTATTTCCATTTTCCATCCACACATTTCTGAAGTCCAGCCGGGCCCGTGATGCCAGTCCCATGACGGGGACTCAGCTCCACTGACTGGGAATCATTCTCCATGGGTTCTCGGCTATATCCTGAGTCATCCTTCTTGTTTTCCATGGGTGACACAGACCCGTGCCTCCCGTGCCTCCCAGTTTCCCCTGTGGGAATGACAGTCGCCATGGCAGGTAGCTCAGGGCTGTCCCTCGACTGCAGGGGGGACGGAAAACTTATCTCTGTGGCACAGGATCTTCCCGTCTGTGTTACACAAGCGGCACTTGGGAATCCACACCCAACGAGCCTCGTTCACCCTGGAACTTGATTGACAGAACGAGATCTTGGGCCTCGGGCCTGAACCCGGATACCTTAGTAAGTAAGACCTTGATGGGTCTGGAGAGGGAGGGAGTGTATTTTGCGTAGGGCTAGTGGCTGGAATATCGGAAGGTGCACCCACATGTTGAGGTTGAGAAGACAAACCAGTTGGAGGACAGTCTCTGTGGAGCCTGTCTGTCTCTATGTGGCCTCCTTACATAGGCTTTTTAGCGCAGCAGCTTTGGGTTGGTCAGATTTTGTTCATGTCAACTTAATCCTCCTAAGGTGTATGTCCCAAGAGAAACAGCAGGTAAAGATGTGTCCTTTTGTATGTCCTGGCCTTCCAAGCTATGCGGTATCCCTTCTACCACATTCTATTGGAAGTGGAGTCACTATGGCTGGCCCATATTCACGGGGATTAGAGTTCACCTTTTTTATGGGAGGGGTTATCAGGAAGCTGCAACTTTTTTTATTTTTTCAATGTTTATTTTGAGAGAGAAAAAGCGTGAGTGGGGGAGGGGCAGAGAGAGGGAGAGAGAGCATCCCAAGCAGGCTGCCTGACATGGAGCTATAGATGTCATAAGCCATGTGATCCTGACCTAACCCAAAACCAAGAGTTGGATGCTCAACCAACTGAACCACAAAGGTGCCCCAAGAAGTTGCAATGTTTATTATTATTTTTTTGGTTTCTTGGGGTTATTTACTTTGAGTAGAGGGTGGGTAGAGAGAGAGGAGAGAATCCCAAACAGGCTCCACGCTGTCAGGGCAGCGCCCAGCATGGGGCTCGAGCCCACAAATCTGGAGATCATGACCTGAGCTGAAACCAAGAGTTTGACACTCATCCAACTGAGCCACCAGGCACTCCAAGAAGTTCAGTGTTTGTTTTTTGTGTTTTTTTTTTTTTAAATATTTTTATTTCTAGGAGAGAGAGAGAGAGACAGTGTGAGCAGGGGAGGGTCAGAGAGAGAGGGAGTCACAGACTCTGAAATAGGCTCCAGGCTCTGAGCTGGCAGTCAGCACAGAGCCCGACGCGGGGCTCGAACCCACGAACTGCGAGATCATGACCTAAGCGAAAGTCGGACGCTTAACCGACTAAGCCACCCAGGCGCCCCAAGAAGTTCAGTGTTTTTTAAAGCTACCAAACACGCTAAGTTGCAAGGGAGGCTGGGGGATGGATTCTGTAGCTTAGCATTGACCACAAGCTACAACTTAGGGGAACTCTATTATAAAAGGTCAAAGAAGAAAAAGGACAGATTGTCAAAGGGCAGATTCCCAGTGGATGGTAAGCAGTCCCCACCATAGGCAGCTTTGCAGAGAGATTAAAGTCAAAGCCAGGCTGTCAAAGATGAAGATATTATGAGCAGGGAGGAAGGTCATTTCAGGCAAGAGAAGAATCTGAGTGGAAGGACACTTGGAGAAAGGACTCAGGGGGGTCACAGGTGTCTGTTTACACGAGAAGTGTGTAATCAGATGAAGCTGGTGGTAAATGACGGGGGCGGCCATGTAAAGAGAAAGTATTTGGATTTTCGGATAGCTTTGTGATACAAGCAAGCTTTCAGACAAACTTGGATATGAATTCTCTGTCCCCTGTAGTTTTGTCATTTTTCAGCCAAGTGTGGTTAGATCATAAAAGCGGCCGCAGTTCTTCAGCCTCTTGAGCGACTTTGCGGCAACTTCCATCAGGATATGGAGTCTGCTTCCCCACCTCTTGGCTCTGGCTGGCATTGGGTCTGGCTTTGGCCAGTAGAATATGGCAGACGTAACAGTGTGCCAGTTTTGAATGTAAGCCTTGAGAGGCCTTGCCTGTACCTACTTGCTTTCATGAGACCTTACCAAGGTCAGCCAAGGCCAGCTAACTGGAGAACGAGAGGTCACATGGGGCAGAGCTGAGCCTTCTCACCTGAGGTCCCAGACATAGGAAAAAGCCAAGGCAAGATCAACAGAGTTGAGCTGGATGCAATTGAACTAAGTCATGAATGAGACCAGCAGGGAGACTGCCCAGCTGAGCCCAGCGCAAACTGATGGCCTAATCACGACCTAAATAAAGGAGTGTTGGTTTAGCCACTGAATTCTGGAATGATCTGTCGCACAGCAAAGCTGTTAGAGCAAGTTAAAGAACTTGCTCTCTAAATTGCAGTGTCCTCAGTGTAAAAACGGGTTGGCTGGCACCTCCGCTGTGGTCACCAGGAGGTCACGATGGGAGGAGGGTGCTGGCACATGAAGCCTGAAACCGAGAATGATCTGAGCAAATGGTAAACTAATGTCATTGATTACTTCAGAGAGAGATGGTCATGGGAAAGACACAATGAGAGGAAAAGGAGGAATTACTTACATCCTTATTCTGCTCATTTTTGTCTTCTGGATTTTCCTCGGTCATTATGTTCCACTGGCCTGTGCCACACTACAAATCATAAATCTGCATTTTCTTTGGCTCCACTGTCTTTGAAAATGCTCACCCTCGCTCTCTCGCTTCCTGGACCCCTTCAACATGTTAGCAGATGGCCCGATAACTACGGCTGTTACAATCAACTTGTTTCATACATTCACATCTTCTACCCCCAACTAGGCTCCAAGCAACTTAAGACAATTCTTCCATTTCCTTTGCAAACCCCACTGAGATACTGTGGTTTTTCTCAATCCAAGTAAGAATTTAATTTAGTAAATATTTAGTAAATTAAAGTCGACTGAATTATGTTGTGGTTGATGTTGATCCTTGAGGTTATCTTATTTCTAATCAGGAGGCCTATTAAATCTCCTGTGTCAAGTCACGGAGTAAACTTAGTTTCCCCAAGAGATCAGAGTTTACCAGAATCCCTCATTTTCCTTTCTGACGTGTCTGGAGGGATTGAGGAGAACTCTCGGCAACTAGTTCCCACCAGCAAATGTCTGGACGCCGAAGGGTAGGAGACCCTGTTTATGTCTCAAGCTGCCAATCAACTGTAATCCTGTTCTTACTTGAAAGGGAAAAGGAGGCTCTGGGAAAACTAAATATAGGAACAAATTGTACACTTGAAAACCTCTTTCATTTTCCCACAGAAACTCCCCCTGCCCCTCCACAAAGGGCTTAAAGCTTCCTAGGTATCTTTTTACTTGCTTTAGGGGTTTTCTTATGAAGATACACATTTTTTTTTTAATCGAAAAATTGGTGATTGACATGTCCTTCCTGTGGTGTGTAGGAACACGCTTTCGGGAGCCAAGCACGCGTCCCATCCAGCTCCACATTCAGTGATGTCACCTTGGAGCCTGAAATGACCCATGGTGGGAACACAGAGGCCGTGAAAACCAGCCAACACTATGAGGCGAGACTACTTCCTTGTGGAGAGCTGGTTGATAAGAGGTTTGCCAGCACACCCCTGCCTAAGCTCCAGGTACCTGGGAATCACAGCTTTCCTCCTGAGCACAAAGTGTCACCAGGGAAACATGTCACCTTGCTCACTGCCAGGCAGGATACTCTTAAATTGGGCGGGCTGATAAAATGGGGACGAAATGAAATCATGAGCAAGATCTGTGCTGAGTAGGGAAGAGTGGCATGAGACCAGGTTAGAGGCAGGCGAGGCAGAGAACAAAGCCCTGGAGTCGAGATTTGTATTTTGGGGAAAGAGAGGTTTTAGTAGGAGACGGATGTATTTGGGTATTTCAGAAAGATCCCTCCAGAAGTCTGGTCTGTCAACAGCATATATGAGCGGGGTGGGGAGAGGGGATTACTTAGCAATACCCATTCTGCACCCGAGACGGTAGAGCAGAGGCCAGGGAAGACGCTGTCTGGGGCCAGGATAAGGGAGTTAGAACATGGCTCCTGACCTTGGCCTTAACACCTGCCCCACCCCGTCTCCACCTCCACCCCTGCCCTTGTGCTGCATCCAGGGCCATCCGCCAGGACAAAGGTGTTCGCTCTGCCACACCGCAAGGCCAGCTTCAGACCCAGCGCTCCTGCACCCAGAGACTTCCCTGGCCATCGCGGTCACCTCTCCTACCTGCTTGGGCAGGCATGATGCTGGGTTTCTTGGGACATGTGAAGGGAGGCCAGTGCCGCTCACCTGGAGGGGCTTTCATCCACGGGCCGACTGCTCACGTAGAGAGGAGAGGGGATACTGAGCCAGGGTGTGCTGACGAGGAAGTCCGGGGAGGGAAGGACGGCAGACAGCTTGTCTAAAATAGTGGATATGAAATGCTTAAAGCAGCCACATCTTAACTGGGGGGTTAGTCCTTATATAAAACGGGGAAGGGAAATCCTGATTATAATGCACCATTGTGATACCTTTCTATGGTTCTGCAAAATGTTACTGTTGGGGAAACTGGGTGATGGGTGTCTGGATCTCCTTGTACGTGCTAATGCAACTTCTTCTATATCTGCACTGCTTCTAATAAGACATTAAATGAAATGAAGCTGCTGACATGTAAAGGCCTATGTGAAGAGACCTGCGTTCTGGCTTGGCGCTGCTGTAGTACCCAAGTTGAGGCCTTCCTTTGCCCACGTCCTTCCTATACAACCGGGAAAGAGAGGCGGCCTTCTGTGGTACGGGAAGTCAGAGCGAATCCTGAGTGGTAAGCAGGGCAGAGGCCCTCTGCCGATTTCCCTGTAGGCCGGAAATGAAAACAACATGCATGGAGTGTAGCTGGTCTTTCTTCTCATCTCGAGGCGACAGGCACTCAGCATCAGCTGCCTTCAGGGGACTTCCCAGTCCCTGAGGAGAGCGAAGCCACTCTGGACACAAGCAGAGGTGAGATTCACAGGTAAGAGGAAGAGACTCCCGGGGGGACCAAGTGAGATCCCATGGTGAGAGGTGGTTCTTAGGGTAGATCAGTGGCCAAAGAGCCTACCTCTGAAATCTCCACAGTGAGCAAAGCTGGAAGTAGGCCGTAGGATCAGGATTTTATGATCAGGCTCATTCTGGGGCTACGAGACTGTCTGACATAAACACACATTTCAAGGCCTTAGACTTCTGGATTTCACTGAACCTTTACCTTCTCTGCCTTCTTGGGAGTCCTGCTGCGTGTCTAAAAGAGCAGTTAAGAGGTCTCCAAGTCCACTTTAAGACCTGGTGATTAAGTTCTGAGGCATGCAACTTAGCTGAGGCCAAAAGCATGAAAACCAAACTAACAATCAGTCAACAAAACTAAAAGGCAACTGACAGAATGGGAGAAGATATTTGGCAATGATATATCGGATAAAGGGTTAGTGTCCAAAATCTATAAAGAACTTCTCAAACTCAACACCCATAAAACAAGTAATCCAGTGAGAAATGGGCAAAAGATGTGAACAGACACTTTTCAAGAGATGCTCAACATTACTCGTCATCAAGGAAATACAAATCAAAACCGTAATGAGAAACCACCTCCCACCTGTCAGAATGGCTAAAATTAAAAATTCAGGAAACAACAGATATTGGCAAGGATGCAGAGAGGGGAACCCTTTTGCACTGTTGGTGGAAACACAAACTGGTACAGCCACTCAGGTTTCTCAAAAAATTGAAACTAGAGCTGTCCTATGACCCAGCAATTACATTACTAGGTATTTATCCACAGGATACAAAAATGCTGATTCAAAGGGGCATATGCATCCCAATGTTTACAGCAGCACTAATTATGGAAAGAGTCTAAATGTCCAACGACTGGCAAATGGATAAAGAAGTAGTGTGTATGTATATTGTGTGTGTGTATACACTCACACACACCATGGAATATTAAAAAGAAATCTTGCTATTTGCAACAACATGGATGGAACTAGAGTATATTATGCTAAGCGAAATAAGTCAGAAAAATACATGATTTCACTTGTGGAATTTAAGAACCAAAAGATTAAAAACAGGGAGGCAAACCATAAGACTCTGAAATACAGAGAACAAACTGAGGGTTGCTGGAGGGGAGGTGGGTCGGGGGATGGGGTAAAATCAGTGATGATTTTAAGGGCATTAAGGAGGGCCCTTACTGGGATGAGCACTGGGTGATCTATGTAAATCACAAAGCACCGAATTCTACTAGTGAAACCATTATTACACTATATGTTAACTAACCTGGACTCAAGAAAAAAGGAAAAAAAGCAAACGGAAACCCCATAATGTATTTCAAGTCACCCTGATAAAGAAAACACAATGCATGAGAGCTAATATCTTTTATTGTCAGACTTTCTTTGAGCCAACAGACAATGATTTCGCATGGCTGTCCTGGAGGGAATAAGGCTTTTTTTTTTTCTTTGTGGGTAGACTTAGTTGGCCTAAGTCTTTACAACTTTTCTATATAAAAATAAAAGTCCAAGACCAGATTATTTTTCTTCTGGTCAGAAACACTGATTTATTTACAGGCACCAGGTCAGAGTCTCATTATAAACTTGGGATAAGATGTATTATATTAAAGCCTCAGCATTTATACTGTCAGGGTCCTTTGAAGAGTCGCTCATGCATTACACCCTTTGGGGACAACAGCATCTTCCTGTCATGCCCGTCGTGGTTATTCGGCGATCGACCCGGAGTGATCTAGACCAACCTTCAAAGAAACTTTAATTTTAACTTAAATCTTTTTAGGTACTAAAGACTCCAAAAATGACTTCATATAGTTCTAGAAACAGCCCTGGGGCCAGCTGCTGCAGAGTGGTTTATAAATACAATTATTCGTATAGGCTGCATATCTGTTCATAATACAGCAGACACAGAGCGCAGACTTGTGCTACATGTAAAACAGAATGGAGTCAAAAATGCGGTTTTTGAAAGACAGCAAAGACCGGAAAATCCAGGATTCTGATGTTCCAGGATTCTGGTGTGTTAATAAAACCACCTTATCAAGTAACGACCGAAGGCTAGAACTCTGAACTATTAAAATATACAGACAGACTGTTTACACCATTGCACATCCTTCTTCCCTTTGCTTTTAATGCTAGTGAGACAGTGATTAAAGTGATGGGTTTAGGAACACAATGCACACACAGGCAAGCACACAGACTTGAAAGATGAAATTAAAAAAAAAAAGTTAATATACGTCCATGAGGAAGGCTGCCAGCAGCACTCCAACTAAAATTTCCTTTCCCCTTGTGCTCCCTCTGTCCCCCCTCCCGACCCCCTCACCTTCCCTCCGAGTAGGGAAATCAGGCTGGGCGGTTAGTGCAGAATTACGAACACCCCCCACCAATTTCTGTAAGTCTCCTCCCAAACAGGGGCGGGGGGGGGGGGGGCGTCTCCCTTCAGTAGCACAGTTAAGGTCAATGAGCGTTGGTTCCACACGTTAAGGCACTTCTGGCTGCTTTGGTGGCAGCGTGGGGGCTTTTTTCCTCTCTGTTTTAAGGCAGGTGTCATCTAGGAGTAGTAAAGCTTTTGAAACTGGGTGGACTGTTAAGGCTGACAGCCTAATAACAGGGTTGTGGAAGTCGACAGGGCATGAGGGCCCTGGGAGACGCCTCCCTCAGACGAGGGGCTTCCGGGAAGCGGAGGCAGCTCTGCCCTCGCAGGCCGAGGCCAGGGGGCGGCCCGTCGGGGTGCTGAAGACGCGCTGAGTCCCTCCCGCCTTCACCTGGAGCTCCCCTGGCTGCTCACGGAACGCGATGCGCTGTAGCGTTTCTTCACGATCATGCTGATGTAGGCTTTCATGAGCTTGGCCACGTCCACCACCTGCCCAGGGGAAGCAGAACACACACACAGTCAGTCTCGGCTGGGGTGGTGCCCCCCTCCCCCGCCGGCCTCCAGTTCTGTAGGAGGCCGAGAGCTCAGCTACTTTTCACCTGCCCCTGAGCGGTGGGAAGGGGAATGGCGGCTTCTGTGAAAACAGTGCACACCACATGGTGGCGCTTTCGCACAAAAATGACAATGTGGCCTGGTATCCAGTTGTCACATTTTATACATTAGAGAAAAACCCACCCGAGGACACTAAAGTCTGTGGGTATTGTCTGGGCTGGGATCACTGTCCCCACTTACAATGATGGTAAATGAGGGGCCCCTGGGTGGCTCGGTTGGTTAAGTGTCGGACTCGGTTTCGACTCAGGTCATGATCTCATGGTTCAGGAGTTCGAGTCCCACATGAGGCTCTGTCAGTGTGGAGCCTGCTTGGGAGTCTCCTCCTCCTCTCTCTGCCCCTCCCCTGTTCACGATCTCTCTCAAACATTAAAAAAAAAAAAAATGCTGGTTAGGGCGCCTGGGTGGCTCAGTCAGTTAAGTGTCCAACTTAAGCTCAGGTCATGATCTCACAGTTCGGGGGTTCGAGCCCCGCGTCGGGCTCTGTGCTGCCAGCTCAGAGCCTGCAGCCTGTTTCAGATTCTGTGTGTCCCTCTCTCTCTGACCCTCCCCTGCTCATGCTGTCTCTCTCTTTCTCTTTCAAATAAATAAAACATTAAACAAAAATTTTTTTTAATGCTGGTAAATGACAGAGCCCACAATCACAGCTTGTAAACAGTGCACTGTGGTCAGCTCCTCACGATGTGGCTGCAGAACAGAAAGAGGCTCGAAGGCCCGCGGACAAGCCATGGGTGCCGGCTGCGACTGCGTATTAGCTCTTTCCCATGACGCAGTCACCGCCACCCCTGGCGCCTGTCCCTTCTCTGCTGGCCCCCATCCCTCTGCAGGCATCTCCACCTCCTTCCAGGTCTCTCCTCCCTTTTAGTCCCTCCCAGCCCCACCCAAGCCAGTTGGTTAGATCACAGTCACTCCATCAGCGCCATCGGAGAGACCTCCACAGCGGCTCCCGCTTGTCCCCTGGAGTCCACCAAAGCTGGCAGCCAGGTGCCTGGGACCCTCTCCTCCGGCGCATGGCTCGCCTCCCGTCAGCCTCCTCCGCCTCTTGCACCACAGCCCTGGTGTGGCCGCAGCCCCCAGCTCGGAGGGCGCCCCCTGGCCTCCACTCCGTTACTTCACACCAGCAGCCGAACCGGAAGCCGGCCATTCAGGTCTGTTTTCTGCTTTGCTCGCTAGCAGTTCCCTAAGCAGAGCCCTTACTAGGCTTCTGGATTTATCATGATGATTACGTTTTAAGCTTTAGAGCAGATGACATACACATTTAAAGGCTTTTTTCAGTGACTCTGAACTAGAATTAGCTACGCCCAGGGTGGTCGTGCCCCTTGCTCCCGCCAGCTGGGAATCTCTGCCGTAATCATCCGCTGATTGGCATAAGGCTCTAGTGCCAAACTATGTAGGTTTCGGACATCTATATCCCTCCCTTCCCCTTTCCTCTACAGGTAAGACCCGCTGACAAAACGAAACCAAACTTCTCTGCAGCAAACACAGAAGAAACCTGAGACTGCGTTTTGGCCCTCGAGGACCCTGCAGCTGGGGAGGGACCGCCATGCTGTATTTTCGTAGGTTTTACAGCAAAACAAAAGTACTCAAACGCCCCAGGAGATGGGGTGTCACTGTTCTGTTTTGTCAAGACCACACACGATTTCCTCGGTTCGCCTCTTACCTCACTGGTTTCAAAGAGCAGCTCCCTCTCGTCAACCACGATCTTGTAGGTGTTTGCCAGCGGCGCCCCGAAAGAGAGGATGTGCTCGTACTGGAAGACCTCTAACGGCCTTCCCTCCCCACGCTTGTACACAGAGACGGCATCCGCGCTGACACCCAACCAGAGGTCCTGGGGGAAGCCGCCTTCCTTGCACTGCGGGCACGAGTCAGATCACAAAGCAATTAGGAACCCGAGAGGCGGAGCCAAGTGCCCTATGCAGGACACTAGCCGCATCCAAGGCGTGTTTGTGCCCAAGGGAATTGAATGAGGAGATGCGGCATCTCCTCCGCTGTCTTGGTTGATTTCTGACGTCAACCCATCCTGTACATCGGGAAAACTTAATCAGTGAATGCGAATATTGTGCTTTGACTCCACCTATCGGCACCATCACTCTCCTCCTAACTGGATTAGCTCTCGGAGGGGGCTGGAGCTCCCCGGCAAACCCAGCCTGAGCCAGTCTCCTATCTCTAGCTCTTCCTCCGATCCTTTTCCAGATAATTATTCTTCAAATACAAAATCTGGGATCAGGGGAAAAATTCTCCAAATCATTCTATGCCTAGCAGGTTTGGCTCCTCTTGAAAAACAGGATTCTTGACAGGGGGCAGCAGTGACCTCCTGTGTGCAGAGCGGTAACAGGAATATCCCTTGTTTGGTAACAGGCTTCCCTGCATGGACTGGTGTTGGAAAACAAGAGCCCTGACATAGGGATGAGAACATGGGGCTGAGGGGACCCAGTGCAAATGGGAGGGATAGGGGGCACCTAGGTGGCTCAGTCAGTTAAGTATCTGACTTTGGCTCAGGTGATGATCTCATGGTTCGTGAGTTCGTGAGTTCGAGCCCATGTCAGGCTCTGTGCTGACAGCTCAGAGCCTGGAGCCTGCTTCAGATTCTGTGTCTTCCTCTGTCTGCCCCTCCCCACTCACACTAGGCTCTCTCTCTCTAAAAAATATAAAAAATTAAAAAACGAAAAAACAAATGGCAGTAATATACATTAGTGACACCAAGAAAAGGAGGTGCTATACAAAGCATCTGATTTATACCTAAAAACAACCCTAACAACTAAGCCAAAGATAGAATCTAGTGAAAAACCATGAAAGGGATCTAGGAAGAGATAATAAGTAGATCTTGATAAAGCCGCATTTAAAGTCTTCAGATACCAAACATGCTGAAAGAAAAATGAAAGCTTATATACACCAGGGGCTGGTGAAGTTACCTGTTAAGGGACAGGGAGTAAATAATTTGGGTTTTGTGGGCCACGTAGTCTCTGTCATAGCTACTGCTCAATGCCACCATTTTAGTGTGAAAGCAGCCAGAGAAGAGAAAGGATGGAATATTACTGTTCCAATAAAACATTATAAAAGAAGGCAGAGAGGATTTGGCCCAAAGACTGCCAAGCCTGGATCTAAACCATTGGTTAAGATTTTCTTTTAATAAATGGTCTTCTTTAAAAAAAAAAAAAAAAAAAGGTACGAATCAGTACGGATTAATGCTAATAGCAAAATTCCAAATGTGACATAAATTCTTCCACTGAAACAGACAGTGATGGGGGAAAAAACAAATGTAAAATCCAAGTATAGTTGACCTTAATTTTAACAACACAGGTTTGAACTGCGAGGGTCCGCTGATATACGGATTTTGTTTTAACAGTATAGGACTATAAATGTACCCTCTTATGATTTGCTCAATAACATTTTTTCTCTCTTTACTGTAAGAATACAGTACATAATACACATAACATGCATAATATGTCTTAATCGACTGTTTATGTTACTGGTAAGGTTTCTGATGCAGGATATTAGCAGTTATGCTTTTAGGGAATCAAAAATTATGTGTATTTTCAACTGCCTGGGGGTCAACGCCCCAACCCCAATGTTGTTCAAGGGTCGACTGTATCCAAAATTTCTAGTTGTATGTACATAATTCTAAAAAAATTGTTTTTAATTTTAAATACAGATTTTTATTACCAATCTATCTAGAGCTTCCATAATAAAGAAGAGAGGGACTCCTGGGTGGCTCAGTTGGTTAAGCATCTGACTCTCGATTTAGACTCAGGTCATGACCTCATGGTTTGTGGAGACTGAGCCCGGCACTGGGCTCTGTGCTGGCAGCAGAGAGACAGCTTGGGGTTTGCTCTCCCTCTCTGGCCCCCCCCCCAAGTGTTCTTTCTTTCTTTCAAAATAAACTTTAAAAAAAAAGTTAATTAAGAACAGGTGACATCTTAATTTTCCATTCACTTCTAATACTCTGAAAGCACTTACTACCAAATCTTTTGGTGGACAGGAAGGTGTGTTAATGGTAAAGCACGGTGGGGGGACCTCTAACACAGGGGGTAAGAGACCAAAGGCTCCATCCAGCCTAAGTAACAGGCCAAGGCCACACTGAAGTGCGCTCTTAGGCCGGTCAATCCGAGAAGCAACAGTCCTCACCTCCACGTCAAAGAGCGTCGACCCATAGCCTGGCCACTCCTTGATCAAGGCCATGTACTTGGCCATGGCCTGTTCCTGGCCCATTCCCTGCAACTTCTTCCATTTGTCAATGATGCTGGCCCGAGCCGAGGAGACTTCCTCCTTGATCCACATGTCCAGCATCTGCTCTTCCTCGACCTTCTGCCGTACGACAGACCCCGTCCGGAAGCTCCGCCTCAGCGTCCCCTCCAGGAAGCTCGTCCGCCTCTTCTCCAGCCGCTCACACGGGGTGAAGCTTTTGGTCGACTGGCTGATGCGGGCCTTCAGCCTCTGCAGGGAGTACACGTCCTCGAGGGGCGGCACGGAGGCGTGCAGCGAGTAATCCCCCTGCAGGTACTGCAGCCGCAGGGCCGCGAGAACCTGGAGGTTCTCTTCGGGGGCCGGGTAGTGGCCGCGGATGACGGCTTCATGCGCCTGAAAGGAGGCAGGAGGTAGCGTCAGGGGTGCATGACCCTAAATCCATCAGGATTTCCCTCCTGTGTCGCCTCCCCTGAAAACTGTACCCTCACCCCCTTTCGCTGCTTTAAATTTCTCCCTAGCACAGACAGCATTGAACCCGTTTTTAATCCCTGAATGTCTCCACGCCCCCCACCCAACTAAAACAGGCGCAGGAGTTCAAATACAACATGTAGTAGTTTCATTCTAGAGTGACGTCAAGGAGCAGCTGCCTCCGTGCATGCTGGGAAACGCATCGTTACACCCACCCGCTAACCTAGTGGCAGAATGAACAGGTTTATCCCTGTTCCCCAGCGGAGGAATCCGTTTCTGGAAGTCCCTTCTACCTGTTCAAACATAAACGCGAATTCCACACTGTCTTCCGGCACGTTGTCTGTGTCCAGGAAGCAGTAGAGTTTGAAGTAGAATTTCCAGGGCTGGTCCCCCACCTCTGCCGTGGCAGCCAGCCTGCGGACACAAGAGACGTTCAGAAAGCAGAAGGAGCGGACTTCAGACGGCGCATCCCAAGGACACAGACATTCTGTCCGTGCTCAGGTAACACTGTGGGTGGGAATGCGGGTGGAGGCAGAGAAAACAGAACAAGAGCTAGGCTGATTTCCAGAGTCCCTCATGTTATTTAGCCAGAGGTGAAACATCATGCTTTCATTTTGGTCTCACTTCAAGACAACAAACAGACGGGGGCGCCCGGGTGGCTCAGGTGGTTAAGCATTAGACTCCGGCTCAGGTCACGATCTCGCAGTTCATGGGTTTGAGGCCCATGTCGGGCTCTGGGCTGACAGCCAGCTCAGAGCCTGGGGCCTGTTTTGGATTCTGTGTCTCCCTCTCTCTCTGAGCCTCCCCTGCTCATGCTCTCTCTCTCTCTCTCTCTCTCTCTCTCTCAGAAATAAATAAAACATTAAAAAAAAAAAAGACAACAGACTTTAGTTAAACTGTGCTAACAAGTATTTTCTGAGTCCCCCAATCAAATCAGCACCGACTAAACCTTATTATGCAGAATCCGTAGAAAGAAAAGAAACAAAGGCTATATATATATATGTATTATATATATGTATGTACTATATATATGTATGTATACATATATCTTCATTCCTTTTACTAATCCTCAAATAGACTACAATATTTATGAAAATCGACATGAATATCGTGTTTAAGTTGAACAGGAATATCTGGTGTGCCTGGGTAGTTTAGTCAGTTAGCGTCTGACTTGATTTTGGCTCAGGTCATGATCTCAGGGTTCATGGGATCGAGCCCCATGTCAGGTTGTCATGCTGATAGCACAGAGTCTGCTTCAGATTCTGTGTGTGTGTGTGTGTCTCTCTCTCTGCCCCTCTTCTGCTCGCACTCTGTCTCTCTCAAAAATAAACATTAAAAAAAAACTGAACAGGATTCTCTTTTGTACTACTTAGTGGATAGGGAAATCATAGACGAAATACTGTACGTCTAATAGATAAAATCCATTTTGAACAGTTTATGAGTTTGCTTGTGTCTGTTAGCCCAGTTTCAAAGCTAATGACAAGTGAAAAGCTTAGAATCAAGAGATTCCAAGATAATGAGTACAGCAGGGACCTAAGACAATGGGGTAAAGGGACAATCTTATTTCAGACAGTGGCTTTATCTAGAAATCAAGAAAAACAGGGGTGCCAGGTGGCTCGGTCAGTTAAACGTCTGATTCTTAATTTTGGCTTAGGTCGTGATTTCCCAGTTTGTGGGACTGAGCCCCATGTCAAGCTCTGTGCTGAGAGCGCAGAGCCTGCTTGGGATTCTCTCCCTCTAAACATTTACAAAAAGGAAAACAGGCAGCAGAGAGATGTGGAAAATTGAACATGTTTCGGCACAAGAAAAAGAACTCCAAGGCACACTGACGCTGAAAATGGAATAGAAATTCAAATCCTCAACACAAATCCTCAACTCATGCCCTTCATTTCTTTGATTCCACTCGGCTAGCACTTCGGGGAGAAGGAACTCACTTCTCAAACTTTGCTAACACATCAGCTACGATGGTCCGGCTTTCGATGGCTTTCTCCACGATTCCATTGTACTCGAAC